TTGCATCAAAGTATCAGGCTTATCTGGCCGTAGCAAAGTGTTTTGAGATTCTCGTCTCAGAGATCCCATTCATCCATTTTATCGGTTTCAGTGGCGTCAACCTCATTAACACTTCCAAAGAAGTGCTGGACATTAGTCTGCTCGTTCTTTTCAACATACACCAATGCCCCCGGTCGGCTTGCAGTTTAAGCCGACACGAGTAAGACGAAAGCGAGCTGGATGATTTGCCGGCCGTCCGGATATGGCGTACTATCTTTCGTCCAGTGGTAATGAAGCACAATGTACAAATCATCGACGTTCATGACAGGCTTTTCCTCAACAGACCTATCCAGATTGAAACGTTCAACCAGGTCTTTGTTCATGTACTATCACCCTTCTGTCAGAAAATAAAAAGAGCAGAGAGCAAGAAAAACCCACATCATTGATATCCTGGCAGCTTTTCGCGTGGAGGCTACGCCCCACCGCTTTGCGATAGAGCTGGCACCATAACCGCCAGTTTTCGTGCAGGCTGCTGAGCTTTTTTATTTTAGAGTTGTGCAGGATCCACTCAAGAAATATCATCACGTCCTCTTTCCTTGCTGCGTGGAGGGACTTCGAGTACTCCTTTTTCCCTAGAAAGTCACAATGCCTGGGCTTTGATCAGCGCGGTATTCCTGGATATGATAAAAAAGGCGCCTATTCAATCCATCTTCTTTTGATGTATTCAATGTTGTTCTTCGTGGATACAGCATGTCGCTTTTGAATTATGCTCTTCTCTAGTTGTCGGCGGCGCTGAACATAATACTCCGGGCTAGGTACTATCTTTGCCTTAATGCGGGAAGCGTAAGAGTCTGAAACAGTCATGGCTTCAGGTAGCAATAAGCCTAGCAGATGCCAGAGAATAGTGGCACACTTCAGGAAATTGAATGGGAAAGAAGCTGGTTGGTATGGCGATAATGACAGTTGCCCAGAAGAAAGGTTGGAGAGATACAATGTAGAAAAGACTGTTGCTGGTGAGGTGGACTGTAGAATGGCTACGAGTTGATGGGGAGGGGGCGACCATTTAAATATTGGGAACCGGTCTTGATGGCTCCGCAAGACAGACGATTTATCATCTTTGTCTGGAGCGGCTACAAACGGACTGAAGGATACTGAGCATCACGTCATCACTGATCAATTGCCCTGAGCATACTGAGCGAAGGGTGAGCAGATCACTGAGCAGCCCTGAGTGCTCAGTGATCAAAAGTACATTATGCGCACGTGATGTTGTGATGACTAAGATTTTGGTAAAAAGGGAGCTTAAACCGGCGTCCAAGGTAGCCATTTACGGCAGCCGATTTACCGTCAATTAGCGTTGTGGTGTAATCTCCAAAATCGACGTTCACTGAAAACCAACAAACCCCTGACTTCTAGTATTTATATTTTGATTTGTCGTTTGGCTAGTGAGAGAATTGGGAAAAGAAGGTGTTGGGTGCATGTACCTTTTGTATGAACATGCGATACAAAAGATACCCAATTCTTGCAATGTTTAGTGGGACAGGCCCATACATGGAAACGGGATAGGGCGGGTAGCACGAGGATTAGGATCGATATATAAATTCCTCTACGGAGTATACAGCTCTAGAAATAGAATCGTATGATTTGCTCTCTAGATTCCAATTTTCACCATTTTTGCAGTCTTTCCTTGGCCTGCACTATTCTTGTGACTCGTACATCATTGCACGGATCGGGATTGATCTAGTGCATCCAGTACGACTTGAACTCTCCTTCTGATTGCCCAAGCTCGATTAAAAACTTAACCGGCGTGCCCCCGATACTATCACAGGGCCCAAGCTCCAGGATATTCGACGATGTCTTTTTGTGCAGGGATAACTGCATATCTTTGCATTTCAGTCACATCACAGGAACCAAAGTGCAGAGCCAAGTTGAAGTACTCCGCTTTTCAATCCAATTCTTGTAGAAGAAGAAGAAAAGAAAAGAAAAGAAAAGGAAATGGTTATGGATAGACATCGGAAACACTAGTTCAAGTATGAAACTTCTGAACTTGGAATTCTTTGAACCCAAGCCCAGAAGAGGGCTGCTAGAGGCCAGTACAGCCATTTTAGACCGTTTTTCGGTCGACTGCAGACCGTTATAAAATGGCTAAATGAGTGCAGGTATTGGCTGAGGGGTGGTTGTATAAGCGCCGAGGGATCAGCAGTGATGGATGGTGATTGGCCAGGTGAAGTGACGAAGCTGCAGCTGGAGAACGACGGCACGGATCCCAATCACACTGCTGTTTCGGATCACATTATGAGTAGTTTCAGTTTGCATCTCACTAAGTTTTCTATCATTTGGAAATTGGGCGGTTCCTTGCAGCTAGGAAGATATCAAAACAAGTGGGTGCTAGGGTTATGTACTTTCAACTATGTGAAGTACTAGTAGCCCGTTGAATTACCTCCGAGTGATCGACGTACAGGGCAGTAAAAGATAGTGCAAGTGCCAGGGATTCTCTTCATGAAGCCCGTGATTCCGGAACTTGTCTGCATCTAGCCTGGGTTAAGTCTTTTTTCTCTACTCAGGTTCTGTATGCTCGTTGGTGCAGATCCCGCAGGATAACCCAGCCACCAAGAAGGCTCGATCTCACCATCTCCGCTAATTTTGTGTTGAATAATCCGTATGGTGGGTTTAATCCCGGGTCACGCTCCAGTTCGTCTGGAACGTCAGAAACGAGATAGATGTATGGTCCGGCTAGGAAATGAAAGCGTCTAACAAACCCCCCGAGCGCCAACCAGTACTTAGCAGTCCTCGATGCTCCCTTCTTTTTGGGGAAAGTTCTTCATTTTACTCATTTTACTCATTTTACTCATTTTACTCATTTTACTCATTTTACTCATTTTACTCTGCTATTTACTGTACAGATAGGGTTGAGGTGTATATTAGTGTTATAAAAACCAGTCCTACATCCTATCACAAACTTAAGCCCCCTCCGTCACGTTTTCTATGTGATGAGCGTGCAAGCGAGTCATTTCAATTTCCTAGCTTCAATCGCCACACTATAATATCTTGTTTCTCTTTTTCAATTTCTCTTCCCCCCCCCCCTATTCTAACGGCTTGCATCTTCCCTTTTTTTTCCCTTGCCTTCTCGCATATTTCTTACACATCTTACATCTCACCCTTTTCATTTAAATGGCTCGGATCTTCGCGCCTGCTTTCATCTTGGTCACATTCCTTGTCAGGCGCTAACTCTCCTCCGACCCAAATGTGCCTTGAGATATCCTGGAAATTCCCCTCTTTCACCTTGACTGGCACTCAGGGTCGTGGTCGATTGGAAAGATATCTGGCTTAAACAGAGGTCAGTGGCCCAAAATTGCTTAGATTTACGTTTTTTGTCTTCCTTTTTGTCCTGAATACATCTCATTTGGGGCTTCTGTCTTGAACAAATCCCCATCTAGCAAATCAAGTTCCCCGCAAATCGTCTCGTATGCATCTTGGCAAATGTAATGGTTGATTTGACATGGAATAGGAGCTTGTGGACAGAATCACGACCCTCAAGAACCGTCATAGTAATGGCACCTGCACCAGCTGTCCAGCCTCACTTCGAGGCCTGTGCTTCAACAGCATCCTTATTCCTCTATGCTCAGGGCTCAGCAATCCTGTGTTTGCATCATGACACATTGGCAATCGAGCGACGTTTCCAGAGCCACCAGGAAAATATTGACTTCATATCGGTCGATAATGTTAGTGAGCGGGGTGCAGGGAGATTGGTGGTGAGTTACGATGTAGGGCAGACGGCTATTATTTGGGATATCTTCACAGGAACGGAGATTGCCCGCTTTGCTTCCTTTGATCACTTGCGAATAGCTTCGTGGATGCGTAATGGTAACGTTGCATTTGGTAAGAGAATCATCACATCTTATCCCTAACGAAAGTTGACTTAATTTTGCTGATTAAAATAAGGAAATGGCAAGGGTGAGGTGATCCTGTTCGAACCTCCCACGTCAGAGCACATCTCTGCACGCACTATCTTCGACCCAATCACTGCTCTTGCACCCGCCGCTGATTGCCGCACTTATGCAATTGGGTAAGTGAAATGGCTCGATGAAGTGGTTCTAGAACTTGAAAGCTAACGGGTTTCAGATATCAAAATGGTTCAATATTGATCGCGACTTTACTTCCTCAATTCACCATTCTTCACACTTTGACTACATCGCGGGGACCATCGCCAATCATTTCCTTAGCTTGGCATGCATCCTCATCGAAACAGAAGTCAGACATGCTGGCAACGCAATCGTCGAATGGCGATCTACGAGTTTGGAGTGTGGCAAAGCCTCCAGGGAAAGAGTCACCTCGAGTGATTAGGGTTTTGAAACGATCTGATTCAAACTCCTCTGATCCCAAATGGATGGGCTGGTCGAAGAATGGAAGACTAGTACAATATTTGGAAGGGTGTGCAACGCCTTGAGAGAATTTTTGCGAATTTGCTAACAATTAATTATAGGGAAACTTGGTCTTGGGATGTTCGAACAAAGCATGTTACTTACGATCCAATTCCTACAATTGATGGTGTCCGCGGCATCGCAAACTACGGTCCTACTGCCACTTTATTCACACTCGGCCCTCAGCATTCTGTCCAACAGTATGATTTGGAAACCCCAGCATTGGTTAAAAATGTGCAACACCTTCCAATCATCCCCCGGCCTGGCACAGTGGAAGGCAGTCGATCACAAACAATCTCCCCGCGGCGCTTACAGGATGCTCCTGATATCCGAGAGCCACCAGGCGCAGCTAGGCGAACGCCATTTGACGCAAACAGCATTGAGAGTCTCAGACAGAGGGCAGATCTGACGAGCCCTGCTTCATCGCGCAGTCGGACAGAATCGGTGAGCTCAAAGGCATCCTCCGGGAAGTATAACATAAGACCCTTCTCTCCGCCGAGTCGCTCTGGCCAGAGTGCTACGACTTTTTCCATGACGTCGGGTGGTCGTGATACACCGCAGGCTTCTGCTTCATTCGCGTATCCGTCCTCGGTCTCAATGTCATCTGTGAGAAGTTCGAGAGCGGCATCACGACTACGGAATGAGGTTCATCTCAGCCCTGCCGATAAGAACATTGTGGATCTATTTCCATTCACTCGGGCTCGCTTGATGGATGTGCCTTACAAACAGCAGCCGACTATTGATGAGAAGAATCTAACTTCGGATGATCTTCGTCTGCAGATGTTGAACGTGGTCTTTGGCTGGGATGGAGACATTCAAGAATTGATCACAGATGAGTGTATGTATTAGCCCGCATCTTCTATCCCACAGAGACAGCTTTTGACAGCTTTTAGTGAGCCGCCACGCTGTGGGCAGCCAAAGCGCCATTCTCTTAACGCAATGGCTTGGCGAAAACGACACAGATGAAATGGCTTCGATGATTGGTTCTGGGCAGGTAACAACCTCTGACTGGTTGATTCTTGCTTTGAGTCAGATGAGTGGCCAAGCACAGGCAAACAAGGTCGGACAGGCATTTGTACAGAAGCTGCTTGAGATCGGGGACATACACACCTCGGCCGCGATCTTACTTGGTCTTGGGGACAGCAACGATGCCATCGAGGTTTACGTTTCTCGCAATCACTTCATGGAAGCTATCCTCGTGACTTGTCTTTTATTTCCTTCGGACTGGCAGCGCCAGTCTTATCTAGTTCGTCGATGGGGCGAACATGTCGTTACTCACTCCCAGCAACAGCTCGCCATTCGCTGTTTCATGTGCACGGGAGCGGAACCATCAGAGCCATGGGCATCCCCATCTGCTCAACAAACTTCATCTTTTGCGGAGATGATTCGTGCCAAGTCTCCTCTCGCCTCGTCGGAGCTTCCACAGGCCAATATGATACTACCACCAATCCGGCCAAGATCTACATCGAACTCGAAACCTGCAGTGAAAACGCCGGCCCTAAAGCTCATTACTTCCTTTGATGCACAGCCAGGGCGTTTCCGCTTCCCTGGCTTAAAGTCTGATGATCGGACGCCAACAAATGCACCTGGAATTACTCCGATTGCTGAATCCGCTATTCCTGAGTCTGCAATGTCCCCTGGTGGGTTTGGTTCTTATAGACTAAACAACATACAAAGCCTGAGCCACGCTATGGCTTCTCGAACAAACACTCCATCATTCAATCGGCGTCGTTTACCCTCCATAGGAGAGACACCAGTGGATGTGCACCCTCCAAGCTTCTCACGGTCGAACTCTTACAGCCAGAATGAGTATATTTCCACCTCCGAAAACGAAATGAGTGGACACGAGCAGAGTCAAGATGAGAAGGAGAGCAACAGCGGTCTTCTCACTTTGTCAGCCGCGAAATACAACCCCAGTCTAGACTCTCTCAAGCCCAGTCCCCAGACTGCAGTGCAGGGGACAGACAAGTTTGCCACAATCAAAGGGCTTCCATCACCAGCTGCTGGTGTATTCGATGATCTCACAAATGACGATCATCGCAACGGGTCCCGAGATCGAAAACCCAACGGCCTTCAAATCGAGACATTGGAAGGTGAAAGAAATCCACAGGACCGCTCCGATTTGCTTCCCAGTGCCAAAAGCACCGCATCGACGGTGAATAGCTATGCTGTGGCTAGAAGCCCCAGTGTTAGTGGCCGTAGTATCGATCAATACATCAGTAGTCTTGATGAAGCAAACTACCATGCGCGGAAGCTCCATCCACATACCCCAGGCCGTGGAAGACGGAACCCAGATGACACTGCCAGCCAGAGCTCGAGGGTCAATCAATCTCGTGATACCTCCCGAGATGCCCGCGGTCTGAGCGAGCGTCGATACATTCAACCCGCAAAGCGCTCTCCTTCATCGCCGGTGCCTATGTCTCCTGAAGAGTTGGCTCGATACCACAACGTAGAGGCTGAAACCCCAGCTGGAACACGGAAGTCAAAGTCTCGCACTAGAAGCTCTAGCAAGGTGAGAGGACCAGGTTCTCAAAACCGTCAGCGCTCTTCAAGTCGACATACTGCAAGCCGCATCGGAAAAGACAAACTAGACGCCTCAATTCGAGGTCGCAGTAATGACAGACAGGGATCCAGCGTTCGATCGCCATCATCGCCTCTTCCAATGGAATATCCCACAGCGGAATCTTCCCAGGATTTTGACAACCCTTTAAGACTTGTCGAAGGCAACCAAAAGAGACTGCGATCTCGCCACCGAAGTGCTAGTCGCCGTCGTACCGAGAAAGGAACAACTTCCAAAAGCGAGGGCTCTTCAGAAACTAGACACAAAACATCGCAGAGTCTTTCTGTGATCCAAACAGGGCCGACATTAGACCCCTGGGCACAACAGGAATCGGTGCCGGAGCAGTTGAGCAGCAAGGTCTTTGGCCAAGGAGACACGTCTAATGGATATTCTAATGAACAACCAAGCTTGATAGCCACTGATTCGCAAGGCAATGAGTCCCCAAGGACACCATTCGTCACCCTCGCGGAGAGAAAGCGAAGAGAGATTGCTGCTGCTGAATTAGAAGCACGCAGATTGTCACTCGCCCGCAATCCATCAGCGCCAAACATCCCCTTCCCTGGCGAGCTACAAAGCGCAAGAAGTCCCCATGAAGCTTCCCCACCTTTCTCCGGTACAAGCTCATACTTCCAACGGGCTCCATCGCGGAACAACGTGTCCCAGAACAAAGTATCTATCGACTACCTCAGCAGTTCTGACTCGAACTCCTCACGCTCTGGAATGCCCGGTGGGCTTCCGGCAACTCCTCGAGCCATGCGGCATCCCAAGTACGGAGGAACCGCACAAGACGAAGACCGCCCTCCTTCTGTGCCTATAATTCCCACAGACAACAGTGTGTTCCTTAGCAATGTCCGGTATCAAGGAAATGCCGAGATGATCGAACGATCGATGTCCGTCCCCGTACCAGAAGGACAGCACAGCACCCCTTCGATGCCCAACGACCTCCCCATGCATCCCCGGTTTAACCCAACCCTCCCCCGGAGCCGGTCCAGCAGCCGCAGCCGCGCGAAAAGCCTTAATCGCACCAGCTCCGGCAGCTACGTCTCTGGCACTTCCCCCCACGTCCAGGTGAGCATCGAAGAGACAATCGAGCACGCAATGCAAGGAGGAACGTCAGCACAGTATGAGACAACGCTTCCACCAGCCCCACCAATCCTCCCAGAACTGCAGCATCTCAACACCCCACCACCACCACCCCCCCCATTCCCATTTTCCGCAACGCCCGTCTCGCCCCGTGAGTCGTCTGCGACAATCGATATCGCCATCGACAACAATGAAGGCCTCGGTCATCTTCTCCCTCGCGCCATGACAGCCGCCCCGGCTCTCAATGTAGGCGGTCATGGGACGGATTCCCATCAATCGGGTGATCAGCGTATGTCCTTTGACCATCGCCGAAACCGTAGCTCAAACGAGAGCTTCACGAACAAGCTGCGCAACTTGACTCGGATGCGCAACAACAGTCGCAGTGTCGAGCCTTGGATGCAGACTCATGAGGCGGAGATGGGTCTCTATGAGAGTCTGAACCCACATATTGCTGGGTCGAACTCGAACTATGTTCTGCCAAGTCAGAGCTATGTCCCGCCAGATTCGAACTATGTTTAAGCCCTTGGACTTGACTGACTGATGAGAACAAGGGTTCCCTTTTTTTTTTTGTCCTTTGCTGGTTTTTGTTATTGTTCTTCTCGCCTCTCTTTTGCACCATGAGCCCCCTTTTCTGATCGTTCTTGGTTTTGTCATGAAATTGCAATGTTTGGGATATCAACGCTTCACGCATCATGTTTTCGCTGCCCACTGGCTTCCGTTTGATACTACCCCTGTTTAAGGGCTCATACCCTCTCTCGTTCTGCTTGTTTGATGTTTTCCGAATTCTATGCCCCAGGGTATATTTCAAATGCCGTATCCTGTCACCATCCCTAATCCTACGGTTGATTGAATGCACAATTTCCTAGTCTCTGATTTCGATATTTTCCATTTCAAGATTGCAGACATCGATGCCTTTTCAAACCTCGCTTCCATTGGCTTATGTTCTCTTTATCAGGGCCCACTAGCTAAACACATATGCCTGTAAAGTCTTAATGATAACGGTACCAGTTGTTGCTTAATTTAAATGTTTTGATTTGGGAGTAGATGTTCAAAAGCTGAAAATCACATGGTTGTACATGCAAATGTCAATAGAAAAAAATCCTGAGATATCCTTAAGATCCCCAACCTCGGTTTTGAGGTGATCCGTCACTGCCAACGTTCCTCTCCGCCTCAATCATCCGATCAAAATCCGCCTGTGCTTGATCCCTTTCAGTCTTCTGATTGGAATCATACCTTTCTTGATCACTCTGACCTAGCTCAGCAGAGTAAGAGTAAGGGTTTGGTGAAGGTCTTGACATGCTAGGCTGCTGGCCAGGTTGAGAGCGCGCTCCGGCATTCTGTCGTCTGATCCGGTCCCAAGCACTACCAGTAGTCGATGAACCCTCAATGTTTGTATTCCGGTACTCTGCAGCTGTGGGGCTAGCATCATCCTCATCCATGAAATCCAAAGCCGATTTTGACTCGGGTTGAGTGCCCCTGCCACGTGCCCAGAGCGCACCACCATTCAAACTCGGTGTAGACGACTCGTAGGAAGCGGACTGAAATTCTCTCTGGGTATCATTTGAGGTCAAATATTCAGAGTACGAATTTGTTTGCGGGGAAGAATCAGGCGCCTGCTCCTGTTGGTACTCATCGCCGCTAACATATCCGCTAGACGTGCCGATAGCCTGTTTCATCTGGGATCCGATATCTTGCTCACCGCTGCGTATACTGCGGAGACGTTCACTAGCGGCCTGGATCTTGCGCTTGCGCACATCCTCAGGGTTCGCCTTGCGCACGTCCTCGATAAACCCTTTCAATCGCGGATCCGTCAACATACACATGGCATCTTTGGAAACGGCGTAAGCACTCGATGCCATGCCGCCGAGAGTGATGATGAAGAGCATTTTGAATGCCGCGGATCCGATGTTGCCTCTCAAGGCGGTATCGCTCCACATAGTACGCACCGCGTTGAACAGTGTCGCAGGCGTGGGATTGCGCGGGAACATTGGCGACTTTCGTGCTTGATTGTAGAGGAATGCTGTTCCGAGAAATGAGCTTACGGGCACACCTGTCCGTGCGTAGTACAAGCATCGCGTTCCGTGCTCGACAATTGCATCGAATTCATCTTGGGTCGGGGATCGTGCTGTCAGCACATAGTGGTTCTCCACTCGCTCGTTCACCGTGCGCGAGACCTTTTGCGTCCATGCTGCTGTGCCGAAAAATCCAAAGTACAATGTGAAAAGATCAGGCTTCACAATTGACTCTGGTCGGAGCTGGACCTTGTTGTATTTCGCGATCGCGGGGTTGTGGCCAGGGAGGGCTCGGGAGGAGTTGTTTGAGGAACTGTCGTTATGATTTTGGCCCGCCTGCGGCAAAGCGTTTTCGGAGCTCATGGTAAGTGTGGCGAATGTTGAAGTAGGTTCGGGTGACAGGTGAGAGAGCTCGGGGGAGCTTGGCTGTGCCGACTTCTGGAGTGACCCCAGACGGTGACGTTGTATGCTGACTCATCATTTGCATAAAGCCTTATCCATCAGCTGCCAAACCTGTGGGAACAGTCTTTCTACCTACTCATGGGTGTACATTTAGCTGTCAGCGATGTTGACTTGAGTAGCGTACCATCTTTCGATTATGAGCTAGACACAAAAGTTGATATTATGTACAAAGCACATCCTACCTGATTTCAAATGCATAAGCAACATTAGGGTGTCACCGATATCTACCTGATGGGCCACTAGATATTGAATTTGAATTTGAATCGTTCAATAAATTAAATCTCTAATGTAGATGTGGCGATGGTGCATTCTAGCTATCTTTATTCTGCATATTCTGATCTTCAAAGTATATTGATCCTGTTCAATGCCTCAAAAGACCCCAGAAAGCGTCGGAGAAGAAGCCTTCTACCACTTCTCAATATAAGGTCGGAGGTCCAACTCGAATGCAAATGTCGTGCGAGGTTGAGTATGCAAATGCCAATATGAATCCGCAATCTATAAACAGTAAGTGTCCGAAACGAATCAACCAATCAAGCCAAACCTACGGCATCGGGGCTTAATTTAGCATCTTCATGCTCAAATACCCAGGCTTTGGTACGTGGAATATCAATGATACCGTCAATGACAGTATGCGAGACATGTACGCCCTGCGGCCCAAACTCACGAGCAAGTGATTGCGCCAACGCACGCAGTGCAAACTTGCTCGAAGCAAACGCAGCAAATTTAGCAGAACCCTTGAGACTAGCGGTAGCTCCCGTGAAGATCAAAGTGGGCGGGTATTCCGAAGATTCGCGAGCTTCTAGGAGCAGCGGAATAGCCCGTTGGGCAAAATTGAAGGCGCCCTGTCTGATGTGGGTGTCAACAACCCAGCAAAATCCTGAAGGATGATGTGCACTATCTTAAACCTCGAAGTGGATCGGGTGGATACAAAAGCCAGCAAATACTTACGCCTGTGACTTTAGTGCATTCGAGTAATCTTCTTCCGTGAGCTCGAGGAATGGCTTGACCACGAAGCCGCCACCTGAGTTGAAAACAGCAACAGCTACCTTTGAGGAAGGATACTGAACCCGAATCTTGTCAAAAGCAGCATTCACACTCTTCGAGTCGGAGACATCAGTGCTAATGCCGAAGGCCTGGCCACCGCTGGAATTAATTTCTTGAACGACTGGGTCGTAGTTGTCTGGGTTTCGAGCAAGAACCACAACAGAATATGACTTTGCAAATCTCCTGGCGATTGAGGCACCCTGTTTATTTTGTTAGCCAGACCTGCCTTGCATAGAGTCAGGGATCGAGACCGTACTGTGCCGGGGCCAACGCCAGCAATGATCGCGAGTGCTTTGGAAGCCATGCTTGATTTGAGAAGAATTTGAATGTCTTGTTTTTTTAAGTCAGAATAAAATGAAGGAATCCGAACAACTAAATACTGGCAGTCGGCTCGGAAGATATCACCTAAGCTTAGAAATGCAACGGGAATTGATCATCACGTCCACAGATGATATCATCTGCAGAGAACGGGACTGGTGTTTCCCCGCAAAGACAACATCCATGTGAAAATTAGACCATCCAAAGATGAATAATCCTGATGGCTCAGCAGAGTCCCCTAGAGCTTGGAGAAACCAAACTTGTTAGGGAAATGTGACTAGTATAGTTGGTTCCAAATTTCTGCCTCAGGCCGTTATCGATAAGACACATAAATTTCCCATCGAATCTCCGACTCTCGAACTCCTCATCGAATCAAACAACCAAGATGGCCGACTCAGATCCTTTGTTGAGTGAGCTCTGCTCAATATGGTATGCCCACGAAAAACACTACTCTCCGGTGTACCTTGAATCTAACCTGTGTTCGTACAGCCATGCCAATCCTCCCAAATACCGCTGCCCACGCTGTTCAACACGTAGCTGCTCTCTACCTTGCACACGTCGCCATAAACTCTGGTCACAATGCTCCGGCGTGCGCGATCCTGCCGCCTATCTAAAGCGCAATGAATTAATCACTGAATCTGCGTTCGACCGCGACTTTAATTTCATTACCGGCATCGAGCGCACCCTCGAGCGCGCGGAGCGAGAAATCGATAACCGCGGGATTGATCTTGCAGGTAGTACCCAGACCGACGATGGCAATTTCGAAGGCTTCCAGCATTCGAGTGCTGGCTGTAAGAGGAAGCACCCGAACCAAGGCCTTGCCAAGGGCGAGGCTGCGTTCTTGCGTGGTGCGGAGACTGCTCGTGTGAAAGTTCTTCGAGCTCCCAAGGGGATGTCAAGGAATAAGCAAAATGGTTCGCGTTTGCATCCCAAGTGAGTTGGAGGTCTCTCATGTCTTTTGATTCAGAAATTTACTGACTTGGCCATTTCTCAAGGCATAAGCGTCTTGCTTGGACCATAGAGTGGATTACGGCTGATGGAGTGAAGACTATTCGTGATTCTGTCATCGATACATGCTCTATCGCAGAAGCGTATAACCGATGTCGCCCACGCCCGAAGGATCAAGAGGCAGCTATCGAGCCAGTTAGAGAAGAGAAGAAAGAGGATTTGGACCCCCTCAACATAACTACCGCTGCATCCGGTGATCCTGTCACCACAGTGGTTGAAGAGGCAGATACAAAACCACTCCCATCTCCGACCAAAGACCCAGCAAAGGATCTGGTGGATGCCTCAACTGAGCAAACGGATACAGCACCAAATCAGACCATCGCACCTCATCGCGGTCTTTATTTCTATCTTCACCGTCCACGGTCCACAACCAAAAAGCCAGTCTTAACTCCTCTGTTGCAAACCTCAACGCTCAGTACTGTTCTGCGCAATCGGACGGTCCTGGAATTCCCTACGATCTATGCACTACCAGAGTCAGCGGAGACACTGTTTGCAGACAAAGAGAACTCCAAATTCATACTGGAGGAAGACTATCTTCGCACCGCTGGGCCGGATGAGATCGGCCAGTCTTTGACCACGAGGGACAATGATGACGCGGCTGGAAATGATGCGCTCCGTGGTTCTTCGGTGAATCTTCAAGATGTCGACGAGAACCTGGTGTTGGAGGTTTTGAAGAAAGACCTATTTGAGCCAGTGCCGGAGACTGGACCAGCGGCATGAATGGCTTTGGTAAGAAGGAAAAAAAAAGATGATGACCAAATTGGCACATCTACAAGACAATGTACAATACCTAGGGACAGCGAATTTTCAGTCAATTGTACAAAGAGTCAATTACTCGGAAGAAATACGAGGCTCAGACGCAGGCATCTTTACTGAAAGCCACAAAGAGCTTGCTAGTGACATAGCGACCAAAAGAGGAAATCACAACCATCACGGCTTCCTGTTGAGACAAAGACCTTCCGAGAACACCTTCACTTCATCCAGGTCCATCTTGGGAATGTAAAATCCTCCAGGGCTATTAGTGCCACCATGAGAATCAACGTTTTATCATTCGGAATCGCCGTGATCTATCTCGGCACGGTGGCATCAGCTGTATCAGTTGCCAGAGCACCGCCGCCGTTACCGGTCAAGAAACGTCCGTACGGATGCGATTGCTACACGATATCCGGGCCCGATCCAGGATACTTCCAGCACTACAAGCTCTGGGACTTTCGGGCGGTGGATTTGAAGAAGCATGCCAATCTCAATCTGTCAGAACCCATTGATTATGGTGACGAGGACTGGGATGATGACGATGTGGGCGACGACGAAGATCCGCAAAACAGCCACCTCTCGTCCGGAGTCCATGATGAAAAGGACTCGGATCCTAGATCACTGGTATTCTACAAGTCCTCCTTTGAGAGAGACTGGAGCAGTCAGAACTGGGAACGCCGAGGCACTCCTATAGCCCCGGTCCTCATGGTAAATTCGAAGCACAACGTCTTTCTCACCCGGGACCGTGAGCAAAATGATCCCCATGCGACGTATCTCGTTCTGCGCACCACCCGCTTTTCAGAATACACCTCCACCGCGGAGATCGAAACTCGCATACGCAATATCTACCGGTGCTCGGTACGTGTCCGGCTGCGTTTATTGCCAGCTGGCTCCGTCGTGTCTCAACCACCTCAGCATAAAGAATGGCCGCCGCGGGACCCAAAACGACATCCCACCGTGCCTTTGAATAAGACAACCCCGCCCCGTGATGGCAGGCCACCTGACGGCGCTTGTGCTGGCATATTCACTTACCATGACCAAACCTGTGAATCCGACATTGAGATTTTGACTAAGGACCCATCTCATCGCGTGCACTATGCCAATCAGCCCGATTATGATTTTACCGCTGATCATGAGATCCCCGGTGCGAGTACCATTGCCGATCTTCCTATTCCGTGGACAACGTGGTCCACACATCGCTTAGACTGGCTCTCGGACATGTCACGGTGGTATGTCAACAATCAGATACAGGATGCCAAATCATACAGGGTTCCTGACCTAGAGAGTATGATTATTCTCAATCTTTGGAGTGACGGTGGACTCTGGACTGGCGACATGAGAATTGGTGACAGTATATACATGGGCATTGAATACATCGAGCTGATCTACAACCGTTCTTCTGATGCTTTCAGGGGCCCTTATGTGTCTCTTTCACAAAACCATGGCGGCCATCAAAGGGATCCACCAAAAAATGGTTCTCTTGGTAATTGGAATCCTTTGGAGCCAGATCAAAACCATGAAAAGTGCAAGCCAGGTAGGCAGGGCCGCGAGTGCAGAAGAAAGAAGTGGAGGAACAGGCCTCTTCATGAATCATGTCAGAGACCATGCAACATTGATGAACTTTAAGAGCTATTCTAGCAGACTTGGGTATTATTATCAGTTTAGGGCAGTCCTTTTTTTTTTTGCTGTGAATTTTTGGCTTTGCCTGAAATGGTGCATTCTACTGTTTGGACAGAATGACATGGTTTAATCAGAGAAAATGGATGTTACCCAGGATTTGGTATCATTTTTACAGTCCAATCTTCTGTAAGCCAGTATGTCACGACGATGAAAGAAGAACTCTCCACTCTCGACCCTGGATAGTCTAGTACTTACTCTTTTTGTTCTTCTGGGCCTTTCTCTAGTGGGTGAACCGCAAGGCCTGCTGTAAGAGGGCGTCAATTTGGATACCTGACTTGATTACTCTGGGGCCAGAGGCAACTATGCAACCGGTTTTCACAAAGGCGCCCACCTTCCTTTGGAGCTCTTTGATGAGATCGATCATTCGAGGGCTGAAATAGCCAGTTTCGGCGAAGTTGCTCGGGTGACTGGCCCATGCTTTGCTCCAAGTACGTATAATGCTAATGGGTAGAGTAGAATCTCAAAGTCAGATGGAAGAGCAGAACAGTAGTACAATAGAAATACAGAACTCTGCAAGTAGCAGAGAAATCAGATGCTATGTGATATATAAAACGACCCCAAAAGGAAATAAGAAGGAACCAGGAAAACAAAGAAAATTAATGAAATCAGTGCGTGAGAAAGGGATTTTTTGTATCAACTAAGTCACCATGATGATGGTGACCGTGGGGTATCATTCAGATTCATTGCAAACATCGCATCGAAAGAGCGCGCCAAAAGAAAATTCCTTGTCCTTTTTTCATCTTTTCCGTGTTGTTCGCCTTGCGCGCCAAAATAGCAGATACCGTGTAATAGTGACCGAAAACGCCTTGGTGGTGCTTGATATGGATATTTGTGAGTTGAGGGAGGATAAGGGTATGTGAGATTAGGTAGGAGGATGAACAGAGCCCCAACTTCACTGTGTGAGATCGACAAGAAAAGGCGATGCTTCTGTCGTTGGGCATCCGGTCCTTGTGTGTTCGTTCAGAGCAACACCGCACCTGTTCCTTTGTCATGTGGGTTGAACTCGCCATGAAGACCACCATTCATAAGCTCTGCAACAATCTTTCTGCGGAGAAGCGTAATGTGGCTCGGACCAATGGCAGTTGGTTCAACCCCAACAGTAATTGCTTTGGCATTTGTGAGAAGGAAGACACCGCAGTCACTTCCGTTATCCTGCTGAGAAGAGACGGATGGCAGAACAGTCCACTGTGCATCGTTATATTGTGACCCAAGCTCCCCACGGAGCCATTGCTTGACATTCTTCACTTGGCGAGGACCACGGGAACCCAGGGAGTCGAAATACTCGATTGTACGTTCTGCGGGTCGTACCACCATGAGAGTCCAATGACTTGACTCATGGACAGGAATAAAAACGGTGTCGACATTAAGCAGTCCTTCGCCACCGATCTTCGCCCGTTTTGCCCACCGCTGCACGCCCTCGTAGCCCTTGTCACGGAGGGTAGAGTAGAAAAAGGTGTTGAAGGCGTGGAAGAGTGGCCGATCACCAGGTCCGAGGTTTCCATGCGATTGACGGAGGTAATGAACGAGCAAACTAAGGTAGGCATTGATGATCTCATCATTGAGCCAGGCCTCAGGTCGAATACATGTGATGATATCCCGCTGATACAGATCGTCTCCGGCTAATGACTTGGCGACGGAATGTCCTTGTCCACTCTGCACGGCGCGTTGGAGTTTGGCAAGCCACTCGGGCGAAATCAGACGTACGGGATAACCCGTTGGAATCACTCTGGTTGGGCGTTGGAGATCACGCTCCCGGGCCAATCTTTCTTTCTCCCGCTTCTCGAATTCCGCCTCGTACCACGATGCAAAGCGATTGGCAGGAATCGGCCTCCTGTTGGGGTAAAATAATTGTACAGCGGAAACGGGTCCATGAGGAAGCCTTGCATCTTGTTGAGCTTGTTGATCCCATGGGTCATCAATGTCCATAAGATCGTCTTCAACAGGCTTGAGGGCTTTGGTTGGTCTTGGCGATAGAATGCGCCTGGCACTCGGAGGGGGAGGGAGGTATGGCGGTAATCGAGGGTGGAGATGTATGCCGAGATCCGTAACGAGTGCTGGTGTTGTGCGGGCATCCATGTCCATAAGTTCCCACCCCTTCGGTGGGACATCTTCCTCCTCGATGGTCGGGCCTTGTGACACAACAAGGGTAGGTGATTCAGGAGGAGTTAATGGGAAGGCCCCTGGGATGGGCAACTGGAAAGGTTCTAAGGCTGGGTTGTAGTTTAGTTTACGCGACTTGAACATCCAAGTAGGTGCTGCCATACTGTCGCGGACGTCAAAGGAAGGCTTTGAGGCCTCAAAGGGATTGGGAATCTTGAACGAGGACTCCGTGGGCTTCGGAGGGGAGGCGCGTCGCTTGCACCGAGGCCAACGGAAGAACCCCATATTATTGCGAAACAGAAAGCCACGCCGAACAAGTGGGGGCAAGAAAGTCCAGAGCGATCTACTCGTCCGATGACGCGCTTTCAAGTAGATTGACGGTGGTTGAATGAACGTTGAGGATGTGAAAATGGAGGAATGAGAGGGTAGATGAAGACAAGACTTAAAGATCCATCATTGGGCATGACTGGAATATCTATCCCGAACCCAGAATCGAAGGCAGATATCCCGCAGTGGAAGAGGTATGGGATGGGAACAATATGAGCCGACGCGGTACACTGGGTTCGTTCATCATTCTGCTGACTCAGCACATCTTCCCTGGCCTAGCCTCCCTTGTTGTCGCTTTGACATACACAAGTGTATACATTACCACTCTTTGTCGGCCCTTTTTTTGAGAGGATTTTCTTTTGATTTTATTCTTCAGCTTCTGCTATGTGTAGTTATCTTTTACTCTGGCCTCAAGTGCTGTGTTTCATCTAATCATTGTCTTGTGACAGACAAAGAACAGTCATCACAACGCGACAACTTGAAAGAGAAGGTTGCTATTGCACCTCTTTGCTTGATTGCCCGCTATTATTCTTTCATTCAGTGTCTTGTATGTCGTGGTTCATGAAGCTGGTCCCCTACCTGTGTTTGAACAGGATGTCTGACCAGACCGAAGAAGACCTATGGAGACCTACTGCTTTCAATGCATATGCACATGAACAACGTAAAGCATGATTCTAGGGCAACCTGTTCAAGCACAGCCCGCTGAGCTAGAAGCAGGCCGAGGGGTTGGTAGAGCTAAGCAGAGAAAGGCTGCAAGACGAGTCACACTTTTATCAATACGTTTCTCATCCACGATATCATCGGGTTCCAAGCCCGATTAGATCGAACAACAGAGGTGCGACTTCGATGACCACCCATGGAATACCTAAAAAGAGACCGGTATCAGCAAGTGTAGTGTCAAAATCTGAGGTTTTGACGTGCCCGCATATACAACTAGTTTTGTCACTACCTCCACGTCGTACCGCACGCGGGGTTTCTTGATCTGGGAGAACACTTCTTTTTCGTCCCGCTCCCCAGCCTCGAAATCTAGCGAAGGGAAAGGTGTCGGCGTGTCAAAATTGACATCCACTGCGGATGAACTGGGGCTGCCCTTGCCCATCATGCCTTCATAATCATCCAGTGATGCCGTCTTTCTGGGCAAGGCGGGCGTTCCATTGGGCTTGAGTTGATCCTCGACGACTGGGGAAGGGTGATTGCTCCCAGATTGACTTTCGCGTCGGCGCTTTTCCCGGTACGCCAGTGTCTCATACGCATCAGCTTCGGACTGAGGGCCAATCGAAACGGCTCGGCGGCGAGGATGGCGCATTGTGGTTATGATGTCTGGGATTTCAGAAAAGTTGGGAAGCACATCGTGATCCTTGAGGTTGTAGGGAATGGTGGTGTATTCACTAAGGACAGGTTAGCATAACTTCCACAAACAGGAAGTACTTTCAAACGTACGATGCGGTGGTGAAGAAACGTCGAGGGAGCAAAAGACCAAGCTTCTCCAGGGTCCGGAAGATAGGTGGCAGTATGCGCAGCAAAGCCGGTTTTGTTACATTTCTCCAAGCAAACACGCACAAAACGCCCACGACCAGACGTATGACAGTCTTAATCCAGCCCACGGTCTCGAGATCGTAGGGAATTGATCCAGGAGGATAACCGACCCAAATATCGGCGAAGTGCCATGAAGACACATCCACGCCTAGCATAACTCCTGCGAATGAAACACTATCGTCGAAGCATGGGCAATCATCCGCCGGCTCCGGATGGACGCGGACAAGGAATATAATAAGAAGCCCCAACAGGGAAATTTCCTTCAGCGACGCGGATAAAATGAAGTCCTCAAAGGCAGGTCCGTAATGGAATTGTACTAGGCCGATGGCCGCACCTAAAGCACACCCAACAGTACAGTCCAGCATCCCATGCATTCCGCAGTACAGTCGACCCACTACAATGGACACGACGTAGATGTAGGTGATTGCTTGGAGTAAGAGAGTGACCTGCGCGCTAAGAGTTAAATCGGGTGAACCTAACAGGGCCAAAGCATAGACCGCAACGGAGACAGCGTTGGTGGAGTGTGTCGAAGGGAATCCATATTCCAGTGCTGCAGAGCCGGACATAGTAATTCGCTGGAGTGGCGGAGACAGAGGCCGAGGAAGACATAGTAGATCCTTGAGGAAGCCGCTCCAAAAGACGCCCGATGCTAGGATGTGTACCAATCTATGGACGTTGTTTGGTCAGCCACAAACTTCCACCTGCGATGTCAATTCCAAAAAAAAAAATGAAACCCACCCTCGACCCATACTGGGAGAACCACACCAGAAGAGGAAGGGCAAGAAGACCATAAAGAAGGTATGAGTGCCGAGGTTGGCCGTAAACGCGAAATACGAGTCAAGAGTTGGCGTGCGGACTTTCTCCTGCACCCAAGCCAAATAGGGCGTCTCATATCGGATCAATGGGATGAGCTTTTGTCGTGGCCAATATCGCCAGAGAGGCAATCGGTTCGAATCTATGTCGCAAACGCGTACCGGTTAGCGGACATCCCGATAAGCCACGGGTGGATTAGAAAAGAAGCCTCTTGCATACAGTGATTCAGACTCCTCAGTCCAGCATCGGGCTGGTCCTTTTTGCTGCCCATGATGCAATGTTCTCGGTCCAGGCAGTATCACAATCGGATAAATTCCATGGACGGACAGGCCGCTGCCTGCCGGTCCGTGTGAGTGGTTTAGGGTTATAGGGGGTTCAGAACATAAAGAGCGAATTGAAGTTAGATCGAGACAAATGATATAATGGAGAACTCGAGGTCGAACGGGATTATCCTCCAAAGTTGACGGGGAGATCATCTGCGGCTCAAACCCCTATACCCGAGGCCGCCATGTGTGTGCTTAGTCATTTTGCATTGGGGCCATCCATGAATGCCCAGGTGGGTGCTTTACATCTTTGCAACATGCAAAACGGTTCTACTGATTGATTGAGATACACTCTCTCATTTATATAGCTGCTTTCTCTTAATGGAGTCAAATGTGTTCGATGTAGAGATTTACAACATATGCCTTTGTCATCGACTAGATATATGTAGTCCTCAAGGTCGCCAACATTCATGTACCGCCACTGTTGATTGATCATCCCTGGCAGACTGTACGGCTTGAGATCTTTGAGCAGTTTACTCCGTACAACCTCCTCCTTTCATTCTGACCTGGGGATGCTACATTTTGTACGAGACATTGCAGCTCTTGACTTTGGTTGAGACGAATCCGTTTCTCTCTCCTTCCAATCTTGATACAGGGTTGAAACTGAAATCTCCTAGAAAATCAAAGGAATAAGCCATTAACGATGATTGAATCCCGGTTCAAAAAAGAGAGAAAAGTTTATTGTCAACTGGTAGCTGAGGCTGTTTAGCCCGGGATGTCGGTCTTTTTCGTTGAATAATGCCGAAAAGGATGAGATGCAGAGTTAGCGTGGTCAAAGCCCCTATGATTTCACATTTTATATTAACTTGGTTCCGCAATGTTCAACCGTCCCTTCTCCATATACTTCGTAGGTATAAACCGTATACTCCGTACAAGAACCACAGATAGGTGATATCCAGGCCCCATTCTAGAGAAGACCTCATCTCTCAGGAAAGATCTGCAAATCACATGACCTCGGGGGAAATTACATACAAAAGCTGTGCCACAGTGAGCTGAACGGTGGAGAATAAGAAATAGATTAGTGGGGTCGAAACCAAAACAGGGTTGAGGTAAAACCAGTAAATGTCAGGATACAGCATATCGAGGCCTTTGATCGTAGGAAGCGGAGCCCTGGCGTCATGGAGGCACGGCCGTTGCTATGGTAGCCCCCATGTAAACACGGGTTTCACGGGTCTCGCCAGACCCTCTTGCTCTATCGATCCTCTAGATCTTTTTTTTTTAGATCTATCTTCTCTTTTTCTTCACTCTTACCTCTCATTCCCGATCAACAATTCTATCCTATCAGCAGACCTCCAAGCCTCGTTCTTCCCAGAATCACATTACATACAAGGGACATTCCACCCCCTTCCTCTACCCACTCACCATGAGTGCTATGTACGAAGATCAATGCCATGCAGCATCGCGCCGCCACTCCCTCACTCCCCCTCCTCCATCTTCAACACCGCGTCACAGTCGTGCGCGCAGCGACAGCATCCGAGTCAGCCACGGCACAGCCAGCACCAACACTAGTGTCTCCAGTGGACGGATGTCTGAGGCAACAAATATCACTCAGCCACCCTCATTCTCAAAGAAGTTTGTAGTGGTAGGCGATGGCGGATGTGGCAAGACCTGTTTGTTGATCAGTTATTCCCAAGGTTACTTCCCAGAGGTACGTTCAACCTAGGAAAGATGATGTGTCCCTGGTGCTGATTATCAGACAGAAATATGTCCCCACGGTGTTTGAGAACTATATTACCCAAACGACGCATCGGGCTTCTGGCAAGACCGTTGAATTAGCCCTCTGGGATACTGCTGGACAGGAGGAATATGACCGTTTGCGTCCACTGTCCTATCCCGAGACTGATCTGCTATTTGTCTGCTTTGCTATCGATTGCCCCGCATCATTGGAGAATGTCGTTGACAAAGTGAGTCCTAAACGGAGAACCACATCTGCGTTTGCTCGATTTGTCTAACATCGTTTTCCTCTCTCTTTTTTTAGTGGTATCCTGAGGTTTTGCACTTCTGTCCCACCACACCCATTATTCTCGTTGGCTTGAAGTCCGACCTGCGCAATAAGCGAACCTGCATTGAACTCCTCAAGACACAAGGTCTGACACCCATCACACCAGAGCAAGGTGGAAATGTCGCTACACGGATGGGAGCAGCATACGCCGAATGCAGTAGTAAGGAGATGCGGGGTGTGGATGAAGTCTTCGCCAAGGCCGTTGATTCGGTCATCTCAATCGAAGAACAAGGCGGGACAGCCCAGCAACCGGCCGGCCGTAATAACCGCAACAATCGTGCCAGTGCCGCGCCTTCAGGAGGAGGCCCCCGCCCCGGCAAGAAGGTTAAGAAGCGTACTTGCAAGATTCTTTAGACTGATTCTTCTCGATCTGTACTTTCTTCCATTCTCGAACCCCTTTGCTTCCTTTCTCTCTTGGCCGGACCATAAGCCTGGTTGCTTCGTCGGCTTGCTTGCCCGCTCGCCTGTGTATGTGACATGTCACCGCAAGCTGGGCAAAGCTAGACATGACTTTCTTAACCCTTTTCATTAGTATCGATACGCTGTGCGGCCCTTACAATGACCCTGATTCGTTTTTTTTTTTTTTTTTTGTCTGGAGGCTGTTCCTTCTACTCCACCTCTGTTCCCCTGTGTTCTTTTTGGCCCTTTTCACAGCCCTTGTCCCCCTTATTCCATCTGATGTCTCTCATGACTCGGGCCTTTGCCCTTTTCCATTGGCATGCATGGGAGTGGTGTTCTCGATTATGTTATCTGATCTGTTCCGTTGGCGAAAGCGACGTTCTATGTGTTACTGAATACATTTGACCTTTTGTGTTTATCAACATCTGCCCATAGTAATTCGTGTTTCTTTTATATCCGGGTAAACGTAACTCGAACTTTGAAGGGTATCTAAGGAAAAAAAAGGAAACCCCGCCCGACGCCGAAACCCATCATGCAGACCAAAATGTAAACCATCACTGCATGACTATTGAGTCACCCTCGTCGTTTTCACGCTTTACTCCTGACTTACTCGCATCACTCTCCTCGCTGACCTTCCGCTTCCCAGTGCCGTTGCCAGCCCCCACGCCTTGTTCTTCGGGTCGGCCCATAAAGTTTTCAAACTGGGACCATAGAGCTTCCACAGATCCAAATTCATTCCCCACCTACCAAAATCATTAGCAGCTGCCCTTTTCATCATTGAGGACTCAAGCTTACCGCAATCACGCTCTCTAGATTCCGATTCAAACGGTTCATGTTTTGAAGTACTTGCTCCATGCCCTGCTCCAATCAGTTAACATCGGTTGTGGTGACTGATGAGGATTCCCGAGGGGAGAGTTCGTAGACATGGTACATACCACTGCGATCTCCCGGACAAGTTCCTCGCGCTGCTGCTCAAAGACTGTAGGGGAGGCGGCACGATCACCCGTACCCGGTGTTTGCTGGAGCCAAGCCATTTTGGGAAGGGGGGGGGGGGAGGACTTCTGGGAATCCGGGTTGGGCTAGATGAGGTGACAAGCGTGGAATGATTCGACTTGGCACGTTCGGACACGCGCTCACCGACGCGACGGTTGGGGTTTCGAAGAGCGTCGCAGAAGCTAGTTGCTTGGCGTTCGATTTTGGACTGGATGCGGGTGTTTTGAAGGGGAATCTCCTATCACCGTCCCAGCTACCGAGTTGCTGCAGTTGGGATTTGGGATAATTTGAGGTGATGGGGGATGTTGATGTGGGGCAGATTTGATAAGAGATCGACTTTGAAGAGCTTCAATGTAACAACTTCTCTTTATGCGTTGTATGCCATCACTCTGTTCAACTTGAGGAATTCATTCAACTCGAACATGAGGACCTATGGATTCAACGCCGCAAATGACCGCCTTTTTGAGGCCACAAACGACCGCCTTGCCACCCCGTGACTGTACTACCCCTTGACCGCCCACAGCCCTACAACACCCACTGTCCTGCACCTCAGCACTTTTTAGTCATCCTCCGGTCCTGATGTTGGCGCTCGACTTGCACAGTTGTTCTCCTCGTTTCTCCTAGCCGTGTCAAGCGCCCAACACAACACTATTGGCAGCCTTTAGGAATGATAGTTCTCTAAAATGGTATTTGACTGCCACAGAGCCTACTACTCTGTGGCAAGCTCGAGTTTTGTTGTCTTGATCCTCGGCGATTTAGAAACCACAGGTCCTCAGGTACATAACCAGGGGCTGACCCTTCTACCACGGCCATGGAAGAGATACCGCAGCAAAGAAACAGGTGGTGATGTTTGAGAATAAACCGCGTCGAATGAAGAATTCCAATGAAACGATCCAGGATGTCTTGCCTTCTTATTCCAACGGAGAGTTTGGGGGTGGGGGAATATACAAAAAAAAAAAAAAAAAACAAAGAGAGAAATCGATGCTGACGGGTACTGGGGCGAGAAGCTCAGACCGCATAGAACCTAGGGACGAAGTGTCTGTGAGTTTCTTAGCTACGACGCCCGCGAGACCGTGCTTATGTGGAATGCGAAAAAAAAAGAAGAGGTGAATTGATGACAGGCAAGGATCATGACTTGCCATAGAATGGTCGCTGGTGGAGTTATTCTACCTCCAACGCACGTACATCACTCCCATTATATGGGTAGGACACAAGTAGGTTCCAAAGGTCCCTCAAGTGAAGAAAATACAGGGTCTTTCCGTCCTCGAAACGTCCCGGGCAACGCCAAAAGTCCTGTTACACGATCCTCGCATCTTTTCCAAAAGAAATGATCTGAGAGGTGGCACCGCGTAGCGTTGGAATTCAGACTGTGCCCACTCGTATTTGTCAAAGTCGATCTGTAAGGTACGGTCGGGTTCCTAGGGTTTCAGTTTGACGGGGGTGACGGTCTCACCGAAATGGAAACCTTTATAGGTCAGGTTCATCATGGGTTTTCTTTTTGTCATCCGTCTGTACTGATGCTCGAACTGGGCCGACCGTAATAGTCGACCTAACCGGGTCGAAAAGGCAGGCCAAAGACCCAGAACTTGAGGGAATGACTGAAAGCATTCTCGTTGACTGTGAGGGCTGTCGAGTTGATGTTGCTTTGAAATCACATGTGTCAGGGCCCTGGAGGATCTGACAATCATGCTGAAAGCCTCCGTCTACTACACACCGGGGCATTCCTTATTTGTCAAAGTCATTCTTCGGCACTGACAATGCCCTTTCGCGGTTGTTCTCATCTTCATTTGACAATTGGTTTCCACCCGAAGGAGAGCACGATTGTGATAAAGAGGCGGTCAAAATGCATTGTAAGGACGTGGCTAGAAAGGGATAAACACAGGCTCGAATCCGGAAATCTTTTCTCCACCCGCTGTTTCATGAGGGAGATATCGGTGTTTTCTCATTTCGCAACGCGCGTTTCTCTCGTTGCCTGCTCTACGCTGCATGCTTTTTGGCGCCGTGGTCCCAAATCCCATCCTTGAAGGAAAGGAAGAATGTAAGGAACATCATGCTCCGGCGGTATTATCGACATGAATCTGCATCACAGTAGTGATGACAAACAAAAGCAAATAGATTGAAAGATGCGAGAGCACCGAGCGCAAACCGTCACCTTGCGGGTTAGCAATTAACATCTAAGGGTTGGAAACGGGCGGGCATACCAGAGTGAATGTTCGTAGAACCTTGTGGGTTCCAGTATGCGACCCATAGGGGTGGTCTGGTTAAGAGGAACCGGAAGGGGGTTTCGCTTCCATGATGAGCTCCAGACAATTGTGAGAGCAGGGAAGAGGTGAAAGTCACGGAGTCAAAAGGACAGAGTCGGTGGAATGTAGGTGTTGTAAGAAAGGGGGTTCTTTTTGTGACCGAAATCGATGGTCCAACAAGGTAGGGGACGATCAGGGGATAGGCAATTTTGTATAGACTGCGCTATTATGACAGCCCGAGTATGCTCTGAGAATTTATGCCCCTGTTCTCAAGCACGGACGGAGTGATGGGGCATAGGTTTCGACAACCTGCTCTACTGTCTGCTTTGATGTCTGAAAATGGCAGTCTACATGCATTTTGTATTGACACTAGCAAAAGGATCCCCAGAATCGTCTGAACGTGTCCTGGTGTCCTGAATCACCAAAACTGGATTTCGATAAGAAAGGAATTTCATCACATTCATACAGAGGACCGTGATAGTTGTTTTGGAAGGAGCAGCAAGTTGAGCCGAGTGGAAGATAAACGAGCACTTTGGGGACACATGGAAATGACAAGTCCAGCCGGGAACGTTGTACGAGCACTATCACTGTTTCAGATGTCTGGAGCTTATATCCAAATATACAATAGGCTTCAACGTTTCGAATCAGTGGGAAATTCCCTGGAGAATGAAGATAGCTAACTGATCGGTGATTTGCGTGGGCCCTGCTCAAGTTGATCTTGTAGTCTATTTCTTGATCTAGACAAGCTCAAAGATGGTTGAAGTTAAGTATATGGGAGAGTATGACTACATACCATCAATACCAGCTGCAGTGATCTTCATTGTTTTATTTGGGATCTTAACCCTCCTGCATTGTTGGCAAATGTTCCGTGGTCGGACCTGGTTCTTCACTGCTTTCATATTCGGAGGAATATGTGAGTCCCAGTTCAATGCACCCACTTGCTGTTGGAACCTTTCGTCGGGCTAGTTTCTGGGTCTTTTTAACACAATGTTTCTGCAGTCGAGATCATTGGATATACAGGCGTAAGCCAATGTCAATGCTCGATCAAGCCAGATAGGGAAAAGGCTCACCATGTTAGCGTGCCGTTTCTTCCAACGAATACCCGAGATATACCATTCCTCCTCTGGCCATCCAAGCCATCTTTGTCCTCGTCGCACCGTCACTGCTCGCCGCAAGTATTTATATGGAACTTGGCCGCATCATGATTGTCACTGGCGGAGAACGTTTGTCGCCAATCCGACGCTCGTGGTTGACGAAGATCTTTGTGGTTGGGGATATGGTGTCATTTTTTGTGCAGGCAGGAGGTAAGATCCATGATCTTTGAACGAGTCCACACTATCTTGTATCTCCCGATTGACTAACGCGGTATTGCAACAATGTAGGAGCCGGAATGCTCGTCAGAGCCAGCACAGCAGCAAAAGGCGGAAAGATGATCAAAGTCGGCTTGATCATCCAGATTGTCTTTTTTGGAATCTTCATCATCACCAGTGTCATTTTTCACGTCAAACTTGGGAGAAACGGGTCAAGGGTGCTGCAGCAGCAGGAAGTCCCCTGGCAAAAACACCAGACCGTGTTAAACACCAGTAGTCTGTTGATTTTCGTCCGTTCCATCTTCCGATACATCGAGTACAACGAGGGACGTAGCGGGGCATTGCTCCAGCATGAGCTCTGGAGTTACATGTTTGATGCCACTCTTATGCTGTTGGTGATGGCCGCGTTTAACGTGGTACATCCGGCCGAGATTAGCCGGTTGATAGAAGAGAGGAAAGGCAGGGATGGGATGGAGCTGATTAGATGATTGAGATGACTGGGCTTAGGATGCCGGGAAATCTCCGGGGATAGTCGATCGGACCGACTCACACTGTCTCAAAAGGATAGATCGAGCTAGGGTTCATACCACTTCATCCAAATTAAAAAGGGCACGCTCTTAGTTTTGAAGGCTGTCCGACATTCTCTGTCGTTTTGCTACAGTTCGCTTTTCAACTTGAGACTATTTAGATTTCAATCCACGTCCGCAGGTCTCGCGTATAGCTCTAGGTGCACGCTATTTAGTTCATGTTTGAAGGTCCGAAGGGTCCGGCGCAGGGACGGAGGCCGATACAGCACCCAGTCACCAGTCGTATTACCTGGCACCGAGAGCTGTTGTGCTCGGCCATGGGAAAAATGAAAAAGCTATCCCAGCTTGACCGACATGCGTTCCTAATTTTTTGAAACAGTTCCAGCAAAGCTCTTTTGATTGGGCCAGTCCAAGAGAGATTGGCCTCGTAGCACAAATGTTCCACTCCGAGGGTCCAGGGTCCTGTGCTTTAAATGATACAAGCCGGACAGGTAGTGAGTACTTTCATTCCAGGGCCCGACCTAAGACCCCGTCAGATTTAATATTTTCCAGGTACAAAGTTCTAGGACAAACCATCGGGTCAAATTGAATTTCGGTGGTTGTCGCTTCCGAGGCAAGATTCAGACTAGATACCGGGTTCCACTTAGGGCTACATCAGGCGTCAAAGGTGCCCTGGCTCAAAGCGGCAGGGACAAGTAGCAGGGAAGTCATACACCATAGGAGGTTAAGAAGCGCATATTAGATCGACGCAGGTCTCAGACCGTTCGCGGTCTTCGTGTTTTGAGGAATTTGGTTTCTATACATGTGCTAGAGAGGACCAATCCAGATCCTAATTGCATACATCTCAGAGCCAGATCCAGACCCCAATCCAAATCCAAATCCCCAACTAGACAAGGTGCACACTCATCAAATCATCAAATCATCAAAGCGGGGTCAAAATCATGCCCCCTTGTCAACCGGGCCAGTGCCAGCAAAGCAGACGAAAAGCAGTCCGAAGCCAACCTTCGATAACACCCGAGTAGCAATCAAGCCAGCGTCGTTGCGCATATCACTTTGTATCATTTCAATTCGTAATCTCGTTTGCAATCCATAATTCTCAGTCCATGTCACCGTGCCCCGGGCACGAAACATAGATCCAAATTCGCCGGTCAAGTCGTAAATGTAGCCATGAAATTCATTTGGTGTTGGTGGGGGGGGGGGGGGGGGGTTCTTTTTTCCTTTTTTCCTTTTTTCTCATCATTTTGACATGGTTTCACATGGCAAGAAGTGTGTTCGGCCTCGTGCACCCTGATCCGAACAGGTGCCTGAGACATAAAAGTAGAGTGGAGTATAGTAAGACCGAGACACATCACGGTAGGGCGGGGGTGTACGGAGTAGTTTGTTAAGAGTTCCGGCGGGGTTGCGCGAGAATATTGCTCAAACGTTTCCAGCGCGGGGTGGGGGATGTCGTGATTCCACGAGACATGGATTTGTCTGGTTTTGTGGAGGACTGTGTAGAGGAACGGACTCGGTTGTTGATGGTTGCTTCATGGTCGGCGAGGACATCCTCGAGGCGGACGTCGGAGGCGGACATGCGTAGAGAAAGGTCCTTAGGATCGAGGATCTCGACGAACTTGGAGGCTGTGTCGCGCATTGTGTAAACGATGGCTTTTTTGGGGTGATCTGGCGGAGGATGGGGAGTTTTTTGATGTCGAATTTAGTAGTAGGAAGTTCAGAGGTCACGAGGATGTATGACTTAATTTGGATTCAAGCGCCAGATGAGACAAAGAGCGTTGCAGTTTTAGGCAGACTGCAGACTGGTGGAAATTTGGATGTTTCAAGTTTTGGAGAGAACGACAAAAGAAGAACATGAGAGGGGTTTTATAAAAAAAAATTTATTCATGGGGATGGCTTCCGACAGCCAAAAAGGAAATCTGAATGTCTGCCGTACCGAAGATCAGTGGAGTACAAAATAGTGCTTCGTCTATACAATTGGCCTATGAACCATGATCGTTGTGTTTCTTCGATTTTCCCCCCCCTTTTTTCCTTGTAGAAGAAAAATTACGAGTCACTGTGTACTATCCAAGGCAACTTTTCCCCCTCACGGCTCGAAATCCCCCCCTAAGTTGAGTGCATGCTCCGTCCTCCGTACATAAACGCACGAGCCCGATTTGGATTTAGCTGCGGGGATGATCGGCAACTACTTTGGTGGCGTTCGAACACGATGAAGAACTATGATGATTCGTCTAGACATATGGGGAAGCACCTGATACGAACGGATCACAAATTGGGTCTATGATCTACGAAGATCAGATGCTCCGTCCCCCCCTTCTGTGGACAAGGCCCCTCGACTCTGAAATGATTTTGATAACCCGGCGGTGCATTATTCGTCGTGGCTTACCATTGTGGATGCCATCCTTTACGCGCCATGACGTTGAGAGTAAAACAATCTTTCTTATGGGTTGACAAACCAAGTGGTCACTGTAGAGGGGCAAATAGGTCCATGGGTGATCGGCTCTTAAGTCTGTGTTTTGCATCCACAAGGTCGGAAGTGCGCCATGTGGTCCGTCTATAAGAAAGAACTGCCACAGAATTCAATCTCTTTCAATAGCATTAATATGGTAAAAGTGTGTACATACAACAGGGAACCGCGTCAAGAGGAACAGGGGTGTTCGTATACGCAAGTGGGTTCGTCGCAAGTGGGTTCGCCCCCATCGGAGATTTGCTCAGGGCCGGATCATTGCACGGACTGTGCGAGACAGGTATCTCCAGGGGAGGCCCGTCGAGAGTGGGGACCATACTCCGGCCCCAAAGACAAATCACCGCAGCACTTGAAAGCTATTACAACCAATTTCCTGTTGAGAAACTGATCGCCCTGGGTCATAGTGTCTTGTCACTCCTTCAGTGCATCGGCGTACATGGCCATTCGAAATCTGTCGATCCCCATTGGATTTCGGCTGTGGTTCCCCTTTTTTCTCACGGAGGCCTTTGGGCTGAACAGAGGAGAGTAACCCGAGGTCGCTGCGCCGCGCCTGAGCCATAAACCACTATCACACTGGACACTTTATGGCACAGCAGACTCTCGCGCTGCTCTCAAACCCACGAAGAAAGAACCCAACTACGTGTGCCTCTTAGACTGGTGCAGAAAGTAAGTGATTCAATTTTGGTCAGAGGCCAATGCACATTCCCCTCTTTGAAAAGCCATAAACAAACGCCGCGTAATAATTTGAAATTGTAGGGACACACACCCGAGTTCCAACAGACCTGTTACACTCAGTAGATCGATCCCCAGTCTCTATCTGTGCAGCGCCGAGCTTGGTAGGGGTCGCGTCTCCGGGTGCCTGGCAGGCACCGTAGGAATCTGAGGGTACGTACCCCAGATCAAGTAACTCATCCATTCAGGGGAACAAGAATCCGACTGTGCCAGATACACTGCTTCAAAGACACAGCACCTAAGCACATCTCACTTCCAGACACATAAGAACGGTCGTCATCTCCCTCCACTCCCCCTCATGTACCGCACTGCATCATATCTCCATTCTAGGGTGTGCAACATATTATTTAAATTCCATATCCGTCATTTCAATTGCATCGGCAGAGCCCATCCAGAGGATGTTGTTGCATCTATGCGGGGGGGTAGAGAGTCAGCCAAAGTAGGATCACAAGTATCAGCCCGACGCCGAGCTGGTTCAAGCGCGTATCACATACCTGATCAGAACAAGACCCAATGCGCCGGTGGGCTTTCCGTCGATAAACTCTTGCGTGTCGCGCAGCAGAACGTTTATGTATGAATCAACACTCTCGAGAATGCCCTTGTATTCGGTCTGGCCCCACTTCAGCCGGATGAGGACTTCAGTGCCCACGCTGTAGAGACAGAGAGGTTAGCAAAGTGTATGACATCCACTATACAAATGTGCATATGTCTTGAGAAATAGAGATGCTGCTTGGGGCTGCTTGATGGGGTCCGGAGTGGGCTGTGAGCGGGTCGCATACCGAGCCTGGAGGAAGGGACGGGGATTAACCGGTTGAACCTTCAAAAGTGCAAGTTAGCTGTTGTTCTTCTGGGAATAGCGCTTAGATTCAGGTGCTAGTGAGCGAGATCTTGAGCTTGAAACCGAGCTGAGCTTGAGGGGAGAGAGACATACACTCATTGTGATTTGAGTGTGGCTTTTTTTGGTTTGTTGGATTAAGGAAGAAGTTGAGGATTAGATGACAGCAGAAGCGCAAGCAAAGTCTTTGACTCTGCTGGTTGATCGTGCTGTTCGTGTTGTTAGCTACGTTGACATCGGAGTCGGCGAAAATGTGAGGTGAACGGGGCGGTGCCGGTGGCCAATCAGCGTCCGTAACCTCTCACCGCCCTCGAGCTCAAGAACAGATGGGCAGTGGGGAGCAAAGTGTTTGGATGAACGCAATGGCTTTTGCGGTAGGTGAATGCCCCGCGGGAACTCATCACAGCTAAGATGAAGGGAATAAAGGAATTCAATTCTGTTTATGGCTCATCGTCTCATCATTGGCATATCTCCCATTTTCAACATGCTCCGTACCCTCATTCCCACCACAGCTTCCCAAATTAAGCTCATCAACAGACACCAGTAATAATACAATGAAGTACATAATCAGATTTCATCGGAGTTTCATAGATTCAGCCCTTTGGCAATCATCGCCGTCAAGTAGATCTTCACTTAACGGCCAACGGTCCAGGTGATTTCTTTGATGCTGACTTCCTCACCCTTCTTCTCATCGTAGTCATACCACTCACCCTCTGAAAGGTCAATGCCAGAGAAGGTGGTGGTTGACTCAATAGCCTTGGCTTCCCATTCACCCTGGAGTGTCTTCGTCAGCACATAGAATTACCAGAAGTTGGGATTCACTCACATCGGGCTTGAACTCGATGAACTCGAGGCCACGACAGTCCATTTCGATAATCGTCTGGAAGTTCTGCTTTTCCTGGACTTCATAAGGCTTAGGTCCGCTAGTGATGGAGGCAGTGTGGGTTTTCTATAAGGTCATGAGCCGTGTAATCATGGAAAAGTCACGGAGGCCCAAATGATTGATGCCGACAAAACGGAAGTAACTCGCGAAAAAGACAGTCATGAAACGATTTCACGTCAAATTAGAAAAAAAAAGCATACTTACCGTGCATAGGCGGCACTTCCATACGAAATTAGCCTCGCCTCGGCTACCAGGGATTTCGTGCACGTCCTATACATCAACTCATTTAATAAGCCATTCAATCAGAATAAAACGGAGAGCAGTTTGTAGTTGTTCCACGTACGAAACGGTTGAAGCTGACCCAGTTCGGGTGTGTCTCGTGGCAGGAGGTGCATTGCACTCGGAAAGTGTAGAAGTAGGGATTTTCCTCAGTGTCTGTGGGAAGAAGGGAAGTAACGCTGTATCATGATATCAGCTAGTTGAATATTTAATAATGGTGGCTGAAAGGATCTGCCCGCGCGGCGTTCCTGGAATTGGAGTGCAGTGCGGGGAGATCCAGGCGCCTGCAAAGGCTCAATAATCAGACATCTAAGGTAGGGGCACTTACCCCTCCAGCTGAGCTTCGACCGAAAGAGTGAGCATTCTTGGCTTTTGAAATCAAGGGGGTGACCTTGATCCTGAGTTGTGATGGCAGAAGTCGAAGATATTTTCAACAGGTGATGCGGGGTGGAGATGGAAAATACCCAACGTAGATCGAGGCTTGGCATGTGACCACTCTATAAACATTGAGGTCATCCAGACTATGAAATACAAAGAATTGAAGTGCGAGGAGGAAGTTGTGTGTTTGAATTGAAAATTGATTCATTTAGAATTAAAAAATAAACGCCGGCCATGCTCAAGCTATCTGTCGCCCGCAACGAACGAATCAAACGAGCTACATACATCTCGATGGTAAAATACAGACTCACAACAAGCCAACATCCTCATAGACGGCTCTGTTGAGACTCCTGGCCCAGCGGCTTCGTCGAGAACGCGTTGAAGAAGTCGTTGAGAGCGTCAACAGTGCCACTTCCCTCAACTAGCTGCACAGTGCAAGCTACATGGCTATCGGGGCGGGTGACGACAACACCACCCTTCTCGGAATCGAAGCCTAGCTTCTCGTGAGCTGCAAATTGAGCCAGGGGAACACGCACATCAGGGATATCATCGGCATAGAGGTGGTGGTGGTAGTCACGCAGAACCTGGGGGATAGAGTCCACATCGATGGTGTTCTTGGAGCCTGCGTAGATCACCGACAGGGTGAAGAGTTTGGAGTGAGGGTTGTGGCGCTCGAAGAATGATACATCGGCAATGTCAGACCGGCGGTACACCGAAAGGAACGAGCGCTCTTTCTCTAGGTTGGCAGCAAGGTCGGCAATGGCCTTCTTGGTTTTGGACTGGTTGCCAGCGAAGATGAAGATGCGGAATGCACCATTGGCGGGCACTTCCTGCTCAAGCTCGACAAAGTTGGCATCCGCAAGACGGGTGACGGTGGTCGGGGTAAAAGCGCGACCTGGAATCAGGTGAACGCCTGGGATCTTGAATAGAGCAGACTTGGCAGGGTGGCTTGCGTCCCAGGTGAAGATGTTGGGTTGGTAGGCCACTCCGTATCCACTGGTGAACTCACAAGATGACTTAAAGGTCTTGACGAATTCGTTCTCCTCCCCACCAGCACCCACAGTGGTGTGACTGGCAGAACCAACTTCGCCAGCAGAAGGACGGCGCTTGGAGAACAGTGCTGCGTACTTGGCATCGAAGTTCAACAAAGTCTCAGCGATATCCTTGCGCTCGCTCTCGTAGGTGCTGAGAATAGAACGGTTGGCAAAGCCACTCTCCACGGCGTGGATCTTCCAGGCCATGTTGAGTGCGTCATGGAAAGCAGTGTTCATTCCCTGGCCAGCCTTGGGCTTTAGGGTGTTAGCTATGTTTTCAGAACAACAAAGGCCTCAAAAAGAAGAACTTACGCTGTGAGTGTGGCAGGCATCACCACCCATGAAGACTCGCTCGTCAAGGGTGTACTTTTCAGCAATACCCTGTCCAATTGGGTAGACAGAGTACCATTCAACCCGGTCCCACTCAATCCAGTATGGCTTTAGAATATTTTTTGCAGTCTGCTGGACCTCCTCGGCAGTGGCAGTCTTTCGTGGGTTCCAATCAGCATCGGTGGAAGAGGCGATCTGGACATAGAGGCGGACCATGTTGTCCTCGCGGGGAATGACCATAATTGAGCCAGCGTCGGAGTGGATGGTGCATTTTGTCTATATATACATGCTTTAGAGAAGGATGTGAGAGTAGGTATTTTCGGGTATGCTTACCTCGATGTCGGGGAAGTTTGTGCGCACAACACCGTCCATGACACCCCAAACATAGGCAATAGGATCCTTGTGGTGGATCTTGATGCCAAGCTGCTCACGGACGAAGCTACGGGCACCCTCACCACTGAATAAGTACTTTGCGCGTACGTTCTCGATGACATTGGTATCCAGGCACTTCAAGTTGACCTCAACAGGGTAATCGGCGTTCGCGCCATCGTTCTTGAAGCCAACGATAGTCCATGGCCGCTCAACGGTTGTGCCGGCCTTCTTGATTTCATCCAAGAACACACGCTCGATCTTGCCCTGGTGGACCAGGGTAGTGAAAGGGTAGCGGGTGTCAATGAAACGGGGGCAACTAGGCCAGCTGCCGGTACGGCCAATGCCAGAGCCATCACCCCTTGGATCCCAGAAGGCAACGTCGTACACCTTGGCAGGCTCGTAAGCCATGATCGAGCGCTTCAACCCTAGGTTGCGCAGTATCTCGGTAGATCGCGGCTGGATACCGTCGGCGCGACCAGTAGCGGTCGGCACTGGGCGGTTGTCAATGTGCTTCACCTTGTAACCCCATCGTGACATACACAGGGACAAGAGCAGACCGACGGGGCCGGCGCCCACAATGACAATGTCATAATTCTCTTGCTGGACCATGCTGGCGGCTAAAAGCAAACACAGGGATCAAAGTGTGTGTGTGGGGGGTGGGGGGGGGGGGTGCGAGGTAGT